AGCAAGGAGTAAGTAATCTGAAGGTCCAGACTCTGTTTAAAAAATAAAAATCACAAAGGACACATATTTTATCCTTGATGCTGCAAGAGCTCAAGTATTTATGCCAAGGATTTAGGCCCTTCACTTGTAGTTTGGCAACAACTTCACACAAATGTATTGCCCTGGTAGTCTCTTAGCCATTTAAGATAAATGACAAAATCAAATGCAGTCCATGCGGACTGAAGTGCTAAATGCAGTGCCAAGGATGAAGTATTTCTATTGGATTCACATCTGTAGCTATCAGATCACCATATAGCTATAGTTTTCAGACCTGGAAAAATAGATGAAAAACATGAGGAGGATAAACACTATTTTTAATGAAAAATTAGGCCCTCTAGTCAAATAGGAGGAGGAAATCATAAGTAATAGTTATAGTTGTTTATTTTTTAATAGTATTTATGCAACACTTTTCTTCAACTGTGTCTTAGATAAATCCAGTAACAATAGCAGTTAATAAAGGCATAAAACTGTACTGAAACATTGAAACAAATTTAAACCATTACTAGTAAATTAAATGACTCTTTGCTTAAATAGATTAAAATGAAATATTTTTTCCCCTAAAAAGCAAAGGATGTAAACCAATTTTAGGTCCCGATGTGGAGAACAGTCTGAAATGTAGCATCCAAACATCTGTGACCAGGAATGTTTGTTTCTGCTCATACTTAGGCATGTTCATAAAGAAGGTAATTCTGCAGATAATCAGCACACAAGCTATTTACAGATAAGAGAAAGCAATTGACAACTTTTGCAGAACTTTCAAGTAATATGAGTAATATTATCATAATACCATATATTGATTTGCAGCTCAGCAATCTTTGTGTAACATTTGATGCTTCTTCAAGCATAGTTCAATTTGAAAGAGCTTATTGTATGATGTGATAAGTATGCAGGATCCAATCTGGGTTGGTTGTTGGGATCAGAGGTGACCGACCCAGATTCATCTTCATTGAGGATAGGCTCCAGCATGGGTCCAAACACTCGGAAGACAAAACCTCTGGTCCCAGTGACTGACCCAGATTGGATCCTGCAACATTGTCCTGGGACACATAAATTTGCCTTCATTCATAATAAGTATGATATAAACAAGGCTGCCAGGTCAGGTTAACTCTGGAATGGCCACAGATAGCAAATTTTAAGTATTTGTATACTTAAACACTTGTAGATCCAGGGATCCTTTACTATTAAATGGCAATCCCAAGACACACATATTTTATGAACAGAAAGACATGATCCACAACAGATTGGATTCCAATACTTAGATAAGGGTTTCTGCTAATCATAGCAGGTTGATATCTTATCTGGATTCAGTCTCTTCCTTCGTGCGGTCCTTTATTGAGTACAAGCAGTTTTCAAAGTCTAATGGTTAAGGTGATGATCTAGAAACCAAAAGACAGCGAGTTCTAGTCCCACCTTAATCATGAAAGCTAGTTTTGAGTCATTCACTCTTTTTCAGTCCAGCTCACATCACAGGGTTGTTGTGGGGAAAATAGGAGGAGGAAGGAGTATTAGGTATCTTCAGTTACTTATAAAGTAATAAAGTTGGGATAAAAATACAATAAATTAATATTAATTTTAATAAATAATAAAAATGATTAATATCAGATAATGTTGCCTTAGAGTTATATGATAGGGAAAAGTAAGAGTTATCACCAATCATTGATGACAATGCACTTCCAATTATTTTTACAGTGATTTTAAATACCTTTTAAATAATGTAAAAGCAAATACCTTTTAAATAATGTAAAAGCATAGAATGTAGACTATGCAATTGCTATAGTGATAAACAGTTGTCCTTTAGCCCTATTTAGATTAGTAAAATATACTATTATATATTATATGTCTATCCCTCTAGATGTGTTTAGAAGCTTTCTGTCACTGACAATATCCAAAAGCATGTGATAACCAGGATCCATTTCCTATCCCTAACATTCTCTAAGCCAATCAAGGCATTTTCTCAGTTAAAATTAAAATTTAAATAATTTTGGGTTATTTATAAATTAAAATTGATAGCTCTTTGAATCCTTGTATGGGAACAAAGGTATTGAATAGATAGAAAGGAAATTTGTCCATATTTTCTTTCCTCATATCCCAATATCTTGTTGTGATTTGACTGTTAATTGTACAAATGTAAATAGTGAATAACCTAGGTGTTTTATAGGATGCATTTTGTTATTTGTTTTGTTATATTCCTATTTCTTTGAAAGATATGTATTTTGGGGGGTATATTCTAGTGTATATAGGTGTATTAATAGCTGGAAATTACAAACATGGAGTTTGTAATTTTTAAAACTCCTTTATCTATGAAATTCAAGTGAAATAAATTGCTAGACTATTATACTTTTTACAGAAACTAGAGTTGATTACTACAATAAGTATATTGATTCAAGAGTATCAGGTAATTGTTGGTGGCAGCCAAATACTTAGTTATTGAAAGATGGATACAGCAGCCTGAGTTCTAACTAAAAGTTAACTTCATGCAATATGAAGTCTGTGTTATGCTTTTATTTAATTGCTTAAGTCATTCTGATGACTGCCAAGAGAGCAAGAGGGAAAGGATTTCCAACACACCAGAACAGAGACTAAATACAGTTCTAAATAACAGATGATTTCTAGATATGCATGTATGTGTTTTAAATGAATAATACAGTTTGAGGGTACAATGCTTCTTTCCAGCTATTAGCAACAAAGACTGTATAGACTTAACATGGGAAATACAATGCAGAAATGAAACACGCAGAATGCATTGTTGGCTATAGCTCAAGTAGCGATGAAGCCATGATGGGCCATAAATGCTTTATTCTGGAATCTCGATTCCTGGCACTTGTATGAAGTTGCTTCAGCTATGAGTTGTGGTACTTTGTGTTAGTGTGCTGGGCCTGGTTCAGTTATAACTTGGCAAGCAGCTCTCCTTTTTTCTCTTGGCGAGCTGGATTAGGATGGCCATAAACAATAATCCCCTTTCAATTTTATTCCTAAACACATGCCCTGTAGCTCTGGCAATGTCCCCGGTGTTCCTCCCTAATACCTATAAGATGACTTATCTCATTACATTGTCCCCTCCTATCACTCTTACATTTTGGGTTCATTCATAACAGCAGGAATGTTGCTGAGAACTCTTATAGGGTTATTGTGGCACGTTATTTCCTGTGTACAAATCTGTTTTATCAGAAGTGGTGTTTTTGACCTGGTAAATTATGCCAGTGGGCAAAAAATACATAAACTATGAAGAAGATTTTAGCAACTCACAGTTGTTTAGTACACTATCAGAAAATTTCAGTCTAAATATAATTTTTTTGTATCACTATTTTGGTTTTTAGGACAAACAAAACAACAGTATCCATTTATATTTGTACGGAACAACTGGCATGTTCTTTTTAAAGCATATTTCTTGGCACTTCCAGAAATAAATCACACATTTTTGGAGACTGACAGAAGTTTGTTAGGATGCCGGCCATTTTGCCAGATAATATATAGCTAAACTCTACCTGTAGTTTTTTTGTTTATACTATGGAGGGATTAAAAAGAAAAAACAAAAAAAACCCAATAAACAGAAATAGATTAAGACTGTAATGGAGCCTGCCCATTATGCCTATAAATTGTAATGGTCATAAAACAGATTAGTCACGTAACTGACTTGATTTTATGACTTTTGGGGGCGGTTGTTAAGCAAACATGATGGTCATAAGTGGGAATGACACAGTCAAGTGAACACTGTGGTTATTAAGCAAGTCCATGGTTTTGGTGTGGTGCCGTTTTGCCAAAAACCAGAAGTGCTAGTTTTATGCAAAGCTGTTGTAAAGCATAGTGATGTGACTGCAGAACACTGCAAATGGCTGTAAAAATGGCTCGGTTCCAAGTGCCCAAAGTGCAATTACATAACATAAGGCCACTTTTTCAGGTCAGACATAACTTTAAACAGTTGTTAAGCAACCAGTCATATATCAAGGACTGCATATTTATCAGTCTTGAGAGTTACTGTGGAAGAAGAAAAATAATATCAAAATAGTTGCCTTATATATTTATGTTTATATTCCCTTCCTTTGAGAAGATCTGGTGAAGACAAAGAAAATATTCCCTAAGCGAACATAAAATAAGGATAGATAAAATAAATGTATCATCTAGATCAGAGATTCTAAGTATGATTTTCATAGTCAAGTTTTGTCTTTGGTATTATGACTGCAGCCTTTATTAATTCACTTATTTATATATTTATTCTACTGCTATACTGCATCCCATGCATCCCATCCCATGTACCTCGAGAGTTTACAAATAAATAGTGCTAAAACATTTGGCATTTAAAAGAAAGAGGGAAGATGCAGTCATTATCCTTCTCATAGGAAAGGCCGTAGTGAAGAGAGAAGCATTTGTATTGACTATCGTCTCTCTGTGCTCTGTGAGTTTGTGCAGTGGCCAGAAGGAATAACCTTGTGAAACAGGAAGAAGACCCGTAACCATGGCAGTGACTAGATAAAACAAATCTAAGTCCAGGCCAGAGGTGTAAACTCAGAAAGCATATCAGAAAAGACTCTCCCTAGTTCTCAGGATGATAGAGAAAGGGAGGAGAAGTGCATTCAGACTTGCAAGTTTCCTTTACTATCATCTTATAATACAAGTAGTATTTGCATGGATGGTTTCCTATTTGGTCTACCTTGAAAGGGTGACATCAATCATGCACTCTCAACTGACCCTCCTCCCTCCTGTTATCTTCCTGGAAACCAGGGAGCGTCTTTTCTGAGAGGCTTATTCATATTACAGTTACAAGGCCAGGCTCAGATTTTTTTCCTGTTTATCTTGGTTGTGGCTTTCTATCCAGTTCCTCAAAGTTATTCTCCTTCCTTCCATTACAGTTTGTTAAGCAAATATGTACTCTAGGTCATGCCAGCCCTACATTGCTCCTGTTCTCCATCTTTGCTTTCAAACATCGGTACCACTGACAGATTTTTCTATTGTTTTTTCCTCAGGGCCGTTCAGGCCTGCAAAGCTGCCGGCGGCCTCCATAACTGCCTCCTCCCACCCTCATGCATCAGTGATCGCACCGCCACCTCTCCGTGCTCTAACCTCAGTCCCGCCCTGCCTGAACCTGCCCTGCTGTGGTGCGCGCGCAATCTCAGTTGGTGGGTCTCAGAGTGAGACATCAGGCACATTTGGATGTCATTGTCAGTTGTCAGGTAACAGAAACATTTTATTTTTGCTCTCTGAAGATCAGCTGCCAACGTGATGTATCTCTGGAAGCATCAAGTCCATTTGGATATAAGGACAGAGTTAAAACACTAGAAATCTTCCTTATCATTGCTGAGACAGGAATTGAAACCAGTTTGGTCTTGTTTTGCTGGGGGTTTGGGCTAGTTGATCTCAGATGTTGCCACCAACACTGGGCTGCTGGTTTGTTTATACTGCATTGTGATCAAATGTCTAAGAATCCTCATACAAATGTGATACTCTGATATCAAGATTTCGTCTCTCTGGGCTGTTTATGCTAAACTTAATTGGATAACAGTTAGCATCTGAAGTCTTTATTCCTGATGATTTGCGTTCTTCAGATCTCATTGGAACATGGCATACTTGTGGTCTGCACACTTTCCCTCCACTGCTATAAAAGTCTCTCATTAATTTTGTCTTTGTTCCATCACTGACTTGTATGGAAAGCAATGAAAGGAAACCAATATTTATGGAAAAGATTTTGTAAATATTGAATACCACTGAAAAAGTAGTCCACTAATTTTACCCAGATTTGGCCAACAACCAAAGGAAGTTCAATGAGAGAAGTTCAATAATTGGTGATGACCCATTGGAGTCCCTATCTTAGGACACAGTGAAGCAAAACAAGTATATCTTTATGAAGTGCATAATTTAACAATGACATCCACTGCTCCAGCATTTGATGAATGCTGGCTTTCATGACTGCTAATTAGAAGTTCTATATGCAAGGTCTAGGTAGAGGTAACATGCCTTTGAATAATAACTGCTGGGAGAAAAAAGATTTGCCTTCAAGTTTGATTGGCTATAGTGTGAACCAGAATATTAAATGAAATGAACCTCTAAGCTCATATTTACCCATTTATAAACTGTGGAAGAAAAACTATTTCTCAGATTCTTCTAAAATTTCATTTATTGCTTGAAGTTTGTCAATATTTAGTTATGCTATAAATGAAGTTTGAATAATGCCTTTTTGAGAGGTTCCCATTTTCCCCTTGTAATAAGGCTACCGTTATAAGAAAATACTTCTAGAACAGGCATGTCAAACTTGTGACGTCATGTGATATCGCGCAATGTATCTCGACTTTTTCCTCTTTGCCGGCAATGGGATGGGCGTGGTTTCAGCATGACGCATCCGGCCCGTGAGCCAGCAGTTTGACATGCCTATTCTAGAAGATCAGGATTTGACTTCTACTATAAATATTCATAATATAAGCAACAAAAACACACTGTTAGTGATCCACAACTTTTAAATGATCTAATAAGAAATGTGTATCAAAGAGATGGATATGCAAAAGAAAAGAAGTAGCAATTTCATATGGAGAAATAAAGGGAAAGATTAAAGAATAAAAGGGAAAGCAAAAAGGTAAAAATGGACCAAGGAAGAATGAATGAAATATAAGTATATGCGTTGCAATAAACATGAATTCTACACATTAGAATTCTACATGTACAATTTTACATAAATGTAAATTGAAGGAATTTGTTTCATATTTTAACACTTTCATATCACTGTGGCTAGCATTCATTTATTGCAGCAAGTTAGCCACATGTATTGTCTAAGGCTTATGGTGCTTATTATTGTAATTGTACATTTTTATTTCTTTGGCATAGACTGATTTGTGAGGCATAAAAGTCCTTGCCCTAAACTATTTAAAATCTAAAATATATTATTCCCAGTAGGCCTCTGAACATGAAAAAAATGTGGTTTTTTTGAGAAGTGGTAACCTTTAGATATTGTTTAGTATGTCTGATTCATTACCTGTAAAGTTTGAGAATATGTAACAAAATGTTACCAAATAACTATGATGTGCTGCTAGTGTGGATGATGTTAGCTTGAATAAATGTGAGAATTTTTTTCTTGTAGAGTTGGCTGGTTTTAAAGTTAAGATAAAGCAAAGTGTCTGGTTCTAGGCCACGTATAGCTTAGTTATTACTTTCCAAGGTTAATGTTCATTTATTGGTTTCTTATGACCCGGATGCAGCCTTGTAATATTCATAAGACCTTCATAAAGGAAATAGTAACATAATTTTTCCATATTTTTATATGTGAATAAATGATGCTGTCATAGCATTTTAGAAAAACAATCCATATTCAGTGAAAAGGGATTACATAGGGGAAGTAGTTGGATAAAAGATTTAAAGTTTAATAGGTTTTAAATACAGGAAATTGGTTTTATTTTAATATCCGTAACCTGAACCTCCCTGCATCCAACAAAACATGCAAAATAACAGTAATTAAAAATATATACTGACAATATAAAATAGTGCATTAAAAAGAGAGCAAGAATTTAACACACAATCCAAAGAATGTTAAAATTTGTAGAAAAGGTAAAGACTTGAAGCATAGTTAGAATACAGTGAAGGAAATAATTTTTGGAGCTTCAAAAACCCCTGGTACTATAAATATTCCAGAAAAAATATTGACATATTCCATTAAAAGGATTCGTCTTAGAGTGTCTCATCTTGATGGGAAGACAGTGGTAGAAAAACCTGTCTTGTTTGCATGCGCAAGATCTGAAAGTGCAAGGTGAGAAAATGAATGTGATAACAAAAGGTCAGTGACAAACACTGATTACATATCCTTAACTCTAGCATTTATTTGAATGATGTGCTTGGTTTATTTGAATGAGGAGTTTTACAGCTAATATTGCTAATATTTTCCTACTGTATATATTCTATGCAATTTACTTAGCATAATATAAATATGATTCCATATAGAAAATGTGGCAGGCAAATACTATTATATTTGCATACTGCCTTTGTGATAAACAGACACCAATAATAGTGAGAGGGAAAAAATAACAAACAAATCGAAGTCTAGGTAAGAAAAAGTAAAGCACTCAGAAAGAATATTGCACTTTTATATATTCACTCCTATATTGTTGGATTGATCATAATGAACAAGCTATGCCAGTTTAAGTTGTGGGACAATCTTATATCATGGCATTTCATGAGATAGCATTCCATCCACCAGTTTTTCCTCACAACGACTCTATGAGATAAATTAGGCTGAGAGAGAGTGATTGGCCTGACATCAGACAGTAGTCATCTGTGACTGAGAGTAGACTGTGCTGTCCTTGAACCCAGTGCAGCACTGTAACCACTCAACTCACTGGGTTTTTTGAAACATTTTTCCCCCACTTCTTTAAAGTACTTAACCTTTTATTATCTTCATGGTTGAAAATGAAAGAAATTAGGTCACTTGTAAAACATACTGCTGTGAAGATGGTAAATGTGGGCCCTTGTTTTGAGAAAATCAAAGAGAGGAAACAATTTTAGCATGGGTGATATAACAAAGCTGATGATCCAGTCATAATAAGATAACAATAATCATACATCTTTGCATTAGTATTTGGGTAAGAAAGATTCTTGCTTTTGATATATTCTAGGTCTTACTTGTTTCTTCCTGCCACTAACTTGCTTTTAATACAGTCATATAAGCTGCTTTATCACTGTTCTAAAAATACTTATTTCAAGCTAAGTTTTGAGTACGGTACACATTATGGGACATGTAATCAAGCATTACATTCAAAATGAGACATATTTTCAGGCACAATGGAAAGTACATAAAATCCTTGAGTGTTTGTTTTTTAGCAGTTGGTGCATCACTTAGCTGCAGTTCAGTTTTAGATTGGATATTGCAACATTATCCTGGGACACTTATATTTACCTTTATTTGTGGTGATATTTTTCTATGAAGGTAGTTAGCAGTTATACTAGACTTCATGAGTGATAAAAGTCCATCACATCTTAGTGTTCTTAATGGTTAAAAGTAAAATTCTCCTGGGAAATTTTTGGGTGGCTTTGCAGTAAAGGTGATAAATTAAATTTCCATGTATTGTTATTAACATTTTTATCTAAGAGAACAAAGAGTTATTTTCATCTACCATCATCTTTTTCATCTTTTCTACTTTTATTCCAAATTCAATATATCAAATCCTCTTCTATAGCTTTTGCTTTTATGCCAACTGTGACAAAGTTTAAAAGCATAAGCTTACCTTTATACATATACAGCTTCGTTATATTCATATACACGTATGTAAACAGTCCACGTGCTTTTGTGCTACACAAAATAGTCATTTAAGTCCTAGAATCTAATAAAGCACAATTATATTTCCTAGTAGTAGCTTTTTTTTTCATTAATAAATGAAAGAATTCTCGTTCTGCTACTACTACCTGTAGTTATTTCTTTTTCTGTCTTCTCGTCACTGTTATCCTTAAACTCATTTTTGTTAGATTTATATACCAGCTCAGCCAGTGAGAAATCTAGATTGGACCACCCTTGCTGGAAGAAAGGAAAAGAAAAAAGTCTGATGCAATTAATACAATCTGTCTAGAAAGCTGCATTATTTCAGAAGCGTTTATGTTAATAATATGGTATGTGTTCTGCACATTTCATACTGAAACAAGATGCAGGCTTTTGTTTCATTCCAGACTGGGTTTATTAAAACCGAGGATCAATGGGAAAACAAAACAGTAATCAGAGTAGAGAATGCAAACTCATCCACATTTTTTTCATCAAGAGGAGAACAGATAATAGTACATTTTTTGTGTTATACCAGTTATATCATTATGCAGACCAGACACTCTAGAACTGCATTGGAAAATAGTCTGCCTTTGTTCCCCTTACATTCACTTAGGTGACAAAAATGGTAAGAAGAACATGGGCTATTTATTAAGTACATATGCAGACAAAGAACTACAAAAGCATATATTAGTACCATATATAAACAGAATTTTCCCTACAGAGTAAATACAGCTTTGAATAAGGTGAAAACTGCTGAAGTTTGGGTTAGCAAACATTATTTATTGATTATGCTGAAATCCATATAATATCTGGAAAAATTGAATTTGTGTGTCATAGTTGCACTATGTAAAGTATGTGAACTCCCCCTCCCCAACTTAGCTCAGACAAAATCAATGCTATATTTTTATGTTTTCATTTAATTTGGTCTCACAGGCAAAGGCA